CAAATGCGTTCGCTCAGCTCAGAATCTCGCAAATAAGGTATCTTACTTGAAGGACGCACACCGCCCTGTCAATCAACCTTTGGGTATCGGTGATTTTCCCTCTGTCACCACGCAGCGGCAAACTGCAGACAAAGCTGAACTATGGTGGGAATGAGTTACAGGCAGAAGCCTCTGCCTCTATTGAGCAAAGTGAACGGCAAGGACAGGTTTGCCCTCCAAAAGAAAGTCCCAGACGAAGCTCCTCCAATAAGCAGCAGTGATGGAGAAAGCGATACTTCGCCGAAATCCAAAGGTTCCCTATCAGCCCGTAAAGATGCCCTCAAATGGCAAGCTGAGGCCTCTGACTCCGATTCGGACAGAGGCTCCCGAGGGGAAATTATCAAAACAACATTCAGTGCTACAACAGCCAAGAGCCCCCGTGAAAGGCTATCCAGAAAAGCTACTGCCAGCACTGTGCTTTTGAAAGCTGATGAGAGTCGGGAGAAATCGCCTCCTGCCACGAAACGGCGTCGGCTTGACAACTTAGGCACATCTTCAAAGACAGTCGCCAAGTCCGATTATGTCTCTAGCTCAGCCGAGTACCTGAAGGATGACCAAGGGTTTACAAAGCGAAATGTGGTCAAGCAAAAGTATGGGCAGAAATACTCTAGCTCACAAGAATCGCAGACAAGGATAGGTTAGAACTCGCGAACTCTGGTATTAATCCATCATCTGACCAGGTCACAGTCAAAGTCAAGTCTGAAACACAGAAGCAAAGATCAAGGCTCAAGGCAGCTCCAAATGTAGATGATCTCAATAGCCCGAAAAAGTCAGGGAGAGCCAACATTCAGAGACCCTCGGAGGACACCTTATCGTCGCCATCCAAGAACTCGCCTATCAAAACTTTCAAGCGCCCAAAAGATGAATCGGATAGCTCAGAAGATGACTCTTCAAGCTCTCATATTCAAAGACCAATCATGCGGCAAACAGCAACACAAAATCGTAGCCAGAAACACCGGGGTAATGTCTGGAAAGGGCTGCCAGCGGCTCCGAAGTCGCCTAAGCTGAAGTTTGTGAAACCTGCAGAACTCTCTGGTTCCATCCATGACAGTCCAGGAGGTAACGGTGACCAGCCAAGCAAGCCAAACAGCCCCAAAAGTCCTCACGTGCCTCGCCCTGAGATTTCGGACCTGTCTGATCTTTCCGAACTTTCCAGTCTATCTGACTTGGAGCTCTCAGAAGAGTCTCAGTCTATGATTAGAACTTTGCAACAACCTGCTGGAGAAGTTGCTGGCAAAGCTACAACCAGGTGTCCATGGTGTGGCGTTAACGTCTCAGAGATTCTATTAAAAGAATTCTCCGAAGGCAAACGATTGGATGTGAGAATGCAGAGAAGGTTCTGCCGGAAACACGAGAAGCAATCAGCAGTGGAGACTTGGCGTGAAAAGAAATATCCAACAGAAATTTTGTGGGCTGACCTCAAGGATCGATTTGACGACCATCGTCCCTATCTCTTGAAGGTGATTCGTGGTGAACCTTCGCACTTTCGTACTATTCTCGCAAACAAAATTGAGACAGGCGAGGCTCGGAACCTCAAAAAAGAGCGCAATCTGATTCCTGGATACTACGGGCCGCGAGGCTTCAATATCATGTGCGACTATCTAGTGGTCGAGTTCGGTGATTTGTTGAAGAAAATGGCAGTGTCTGACCGCGTAATTTCAGGTCGTGGATCTGCGGCCTTCATTGAGTCTGTGCTAGTGGCAGAGTTGGCTGTACGGTTGATCCAGGAGGATATGGAGGTATCGATTATGGAGGCTAGGAATATCATGGAAGAGAGCAAGGCCATCGGTGTCCTCCTGAATGAGGAAGTATAATGATGTATGAACAGAACGTTGTCTCGGAAACGTTAATCAGGCATGTCCAGGTTTGCAATGCCTTGAAATCTCACGATATGGTTTGTTTGCTCCACAACTCCAATGGATCGGGACGATGTACAAAATCAAAGATCTGAAGTTGAAAAGCTACGTACAACAATAAACTCAATCATGTAATCAGTCCTATTCTTTATCGACCTATAATCTATTTTTATGTTCACCTACAAACTTGTATCTGACCTCAATCATCCTTACAGGATTACTACAAGTGACTCACAAGGAGCCAGTTGGATAACTTCGCCCTCAAGATCGGCCAGGCTCCTTCCATTGGGACTAACCAGCACCTCTCGAGCCTTGGATGGCATCTTCCACTCGACGGATTCAGCAGCAAAATTGCAAATAACGAGTGCAGCATCACCGTCAGCGGCCGTTCGCTTGTACGCAAACACCTTCTCATTGGCCGCGTCGACGAGCTCAAAGTCACCGTATATAAAGATGTCCATGTGAGCTTTCCTCGTGTCGAGGACGGTTCGGTAGCAACGGAAGACAGATTCGGGGTCGTTGACCTGAGATGCTGCGTTGATCTCGGGATAGTTATCATTGACGCGCATCCAGGGATTGTTACCGGTTGTGAAGCCCGAGTTTGAAGTAGCATCCCATTGCATTGGCGTGCGTGCATTGTCTCGAGACTTACGCTGGTACTCATGTTTAAGGGATTCTAGGGTGGCAGCGTCGGTAGTGTCCTTGAACAGCCTGGCGAGTAGTCAGCATCCAAGCTTGGTGACTGGTAGTGTCAAGCTCGCGCTCGTCAATAGTGGCAACTCACTTCCAGTGCTCAACGCAGTCAATGTCCTTGTATTCCTCCATGCCCCAGTCTTTTGGCACGTTGGTCATTCCAATCTCCTGTCCCTGGTAAATGAAAGGAGTGCCAGACTGGAAGCCGAGGAAGCTGGCCAACAGTTTGGCGCTTGCCACTCGGTGCTCAGGATCATCATGCATGTAGCGGCTGATAGCCCGCGGTTGATCGTGGTTCTCAAGATACAACGCGTTCCAGCCGTCATTATTGATCATGAATTGTTGCCACTTGTCGGTGATTGCCTTGAGATCGGACAGCTTCCATGAGCCTGGAGAGAATTTGCCTCTGGACCCATGGTCAACATCCATACTAGGTAAGTGTTAGCAATGATCAGCTCAGGCGATGTGTTTTGTACTGGAGGAAGAGCATCATCTTACAGTTCAAAGTGGAAAATCATGCTCAGCTCGCCACGGTCCGCAGCAACCGCACGAATGAACTCCTGGTCATCGTGCACACACGGCATCTCACCCACGCTGAAGGCGTCGTACTCCTGGAGGATATCACCAATTTCCTTGAGGTACTCGTGCAGCCTGGGTCCACAGGCGTAGTGCTCGGTACCAGGCAATACCGTCTTGTCAGAATCGGGAAATGCTTGATCCTTGCTGATGAAGTTGATAACGTCCATGCGGAAGCCATCAATTCCACGGTCAAGCCAAAAGCGCATCACCTCATGGACCTTGTCACGCACAGCCGGGTTTTCCCAGTTGAGGTCAGGCTGCTCCTTGCAAAAGAGATGAAGGTAGTACTCGTCGGTAGTTTCGTCGTACTCCCATACAGACCCTGAGTGTTAGACGTTAGCAAAATGGACATTAGCACAACCCGCGAGTTTGGCTGGGAGAGTTGCCGCGGGGAGGTTACCTTGGAAGTGAGCCTGCCAGTTGTTTGGGGGTTGTCGGTTACCATCCGCATCGTACTTAGCAGGCTTCCAGACGTACCAGTCTCGGTACGGGTTGTCTTTTGACTTGCGAGACTCTTTAAACCATTCATGCTGGTCGCTCGTGTGGTTCATGACGAGATCCAAGACTAGTTTCATCCCTCTCTCATGAAGTTTGTCCTTCAGAATATCCACATCACTGACATCTCCGTATGGAGGATGAATTTTGGTGTAGTTGCTGATATCATATCCCTATGTGAATTTTTCATCAGTCAACTACACGTGCTCGGTCTTCAATGGTATCACTTGATAGCTTACTCACCATGTCAATTTGGGGGCTTTCGAAGATGGGCGACAGCCATACGATTTCAACACCAAGGTCCTTAAGATAATCAACGCGGGAGATGATGCCTTTCAAATCCCCGGTTCCCGAGCCAGTTGAATCTTGAAACGAGGCCGGATAAATCTGGTATACCGAGCTCTCTTTCCACCACCTGCGGTGCTGTCCCGCTAGTGCACTCATTTTCAAAGGAGGAATCGTATAGTTTATCGCTCGGGCCAGGCTCAGGATAAGGCAGTCTTGCCAATGCGTATTAGGTGGATGCCTGTCTCGGGAGAAGATCGTTGAGGCCAGCAAAGTCAAGTGACCTTGATATCTTACAATACAACTTGCTTACTTGTAGAATGCACACCTTTATGAAACCGTCAAACTTCTCAACATAGCCATATGGCTCTTACAGCTTTTATATATACTGTTACCTGGGTCCTAATATTGTGGTGGGGGGCACCGGTCGAACATCAGCGGGGCTCGCGGGGTTATTTGTTGACGTTACGACGCAGATGATGCGCTATTAGTGCTGTAATAGAGAGGGTACTTCAGTCAAACGCTCACAAAGCCCAGCATACCCGATTTTAATCAAGGATCGCGGAGTATTTTCCGGAGATATTGTCGGCGTCACTCGACACGCTGATGCGTCTCTTGCCCCTCTCTTGACGGTTCAGTGAATTAATTTAACCGGCAGGCAGCTCGCATTGAGGGACAAGACCCTGAATTTGTGCTTTATTGGAGAGTGATGTGCTAAGGATTGAAGTCTTCTATCTGTAAGTATTTTGCACCAGCAAAGAGGTGAATGGTCAAGGCATTCTGGTACGAGAAGTAGTCAAGGATGTGTGGGTCAGACAAACAGAGACGGATAAAAGTAGAAGTGTTATAAGTCTCGAGCTGAAATACTATATTCTTGTATAACGAATGTAATTAATCAGTAGTAGCTGCAGCCATGCTGTCAACTCGGATAAACGAAGATATATGAAAGCAACGGATTCTGTATTGCGATGCAGCTGTGACAAGTGCCAACTTCAGCAACGTCACATTTCTCTGGCATATAGGCTTGAACTGAATCGCATCTTCCACAAATCAGCCCTTGTAGCTCAGGGGTAGAGCGTTGCACTTGTAATGCAAAGGTCCATGGTTCAAATCCGTGCGGGGGCAGATTTAATTTTTTGGGTACGATACTCTTATCTACCCAATGGTTTTTTTTTTTGGAACATGCAGTTGTCGCGGGTTCAATTTCCCTTCTGCCTACCCTACCCTACATTACATCTCTCTACCTCGGTATCTGATAATGGCTCACCGACAGATCGTTCGGATTTGAGAGATAATCAGCTGTGTATGAAAGTCACAATGCAGTAGTCTGGGTTAGAGATTCCTCTTTCAATGTAACTTTGCATCGTCCTAGTTGAGTTGTTCGGTTGGATATATCAGCAAACCTTGGGCATATCCATGCCCGAAATCATGAATATGTAGTGTGCGTTCAATACCCTGACTAACAGAACAAATATTCGATGCATTTATTTAGTCATATGGTCTATCACGAGATCTTTTACCCTCGAAGGCAACAGCTTCTTGCTACCAATCAAGTTATATGCAGCGCCGCCTGCTCACGCGTCAGACAATTCATGTGCTGCACCACTAACGATAGAGGTATGGAGTTGCTTGATGCCACAGTGGGATCCGTGCAAGCCTGTTCTGCCACCTAGTGTCTGGGGAACGCATTGATCATCTTGAGGACTCGACATAGGCAAGGTGCACATATTCAACAATGCTTTCACGGGGCGAAAAGTAACAAACTCCCAGTGGCGCTAGTATCAATAACAGAATAGAACAGCTGACTCATTCCATACGACGTTCATGTCGTCTGAAAGTTCTATGTTCCTTCTTCACACTCTCTCACGATGACATGGATGACCGGCACGAGGTGATTATAGACGTTACATAGTCAGCGAACCAGCATGTCAGTTGCAATCTGGGGATCTTCGGGACCAATATGCGGGGCGGGCCGACTGGGAATGAGCGCTTACGCCGGATAAGCGACGCAGGAGGAAGATGGGCATGTTTTTTTTTTTTACCGACATTGTTTTGATGAAAGACACTCTAACTGTCCTGTCGATCAACGGATATGGCGAGACGGTTGCTTATTACGAGGGTGAGAATGCTCCATACATACTCCATAGGCAGGGACATTGAATTGCCAGGTCTAAGATTCTAATAAATCCCGAGATAAACATGAATGATCCCAGTTATCACATTCCTCGTTGAGCAATACTAACGTAGTCTGAGTGCAAAAGAAAAGACATGTAGCGCTCCTGACTACACATTTCTCACAGGACACAGTTGGGTTCACGAGGCTGATTGGGTAAGGATCGCTATGTGAGACCAAGTTGCTCATTGCATACACAGTACACCTATAGAAGCACTCATCTGGATTTGAAATACCTGTTTTCTCAAGGTCCTGTGAGATTACTCCAATGTACTCCTGTGTATGTACGCGTGAGTCTGAGGCAATTGATTGTTTTTGCCCTAGTACGATCTCCGTACACCCTGCAGCTTCACCGGCCAGGCGATAAGGCATGTATTTGGGATGTACCGATATAGTGCGTCCAGGAGGCCAAGGAAAAAGCAAGGCGATGGATGTTCTCACAGGTGGCCCAGGAGGAGGTTTTAGACTGCCTGGATACGTAGTGAGTCGTAACAAATGGATAGGCGAGCTACTGAGGTCCGCTTTGAATCAGGCCGAGAGGCGTCGGAAGAAAAAGCAAAGGGCGACTTTCAACCTGGTCGAGATGAATGGCGGATTCCCACCCTAGGGAGGAGAGATGAGTTAGATTCACAATACCTAACTACCCACCTGAATGTCCATCATGTGGACCTGTCGCGTCGTAATGACATTTTCATAACTTGTGGTTGAAATGGACGAGGGGCACAGTAAGCAATGCAGATTGCACATTGCTGGGCGCTTACGGAGTAATGAGGCTTTCAGTTAGGGCCTGGGGGTAAGTTTAGGTAGTATGGAAGTTGTTGAGTTTGTCTGTGCTGAAGGGGGGCTAGCGAATGGCCGTACATCCCAAGGTAGGTAGCCGTCGCCCGTCGAGGTATCGGCGGAGTACCCTACTCAAGGTACCGAAGGCAGGTAAGGGTGTCAGGCAGACCGTTGTCTGAATTGGGGAATCCTGTTGCATGTCGTCGTACTGTATGTTGACCGTGTGCAGATGTCAGGAGATGGCGTCCGCCCGAGGCAACATGCAAGGCATTATCGGATGTTGTTTGGACTTGAGAGTGATGACAGGAGACTGTTGACACCACCCGTGGTAAAAATTTCATTGATTCAAAATACATAGTATGGGAGGACGACCGTCGGACCTATCGGATACCCGACCATCTCATCCAAGTAATTATTGTTTGGTGCAGACAGTACTATGTACTCGCCAACGCGTGTGGCCATTAGCATCATTCACACATACAAGGGGACCCTCCTCCACACGCCCAGTCTCTTTGTTTCTTTTTGGTGAGCCTTTATTATGTAAAACCACAAATAGAGTGATACAGCAAGATGGGCCACCACAGTAGGCAACTCAACTAATTGCTCCTAGGCAGCTTTAGCATCGCGGGAAACGGAGGCATGCTCCATAGCACATCCTCCGCTAGCTAAACGGACAATGTGGTCCGTACGAAGTACGTGTGTACTGTACTTCCTGCCAAGCACAGTAGTGCAGCAACGGCTACCCCAGCCCGCCGCGCCCCGGGGGTTCGTACATTGCAGGTACCTACAAGCTAAGGTAGTATTCTTGGGCAAAAGCGCAGTGCTGCAGCGATGGCCCTGGTTGAGAGCCACTGGGTGGCCCGACTAACGGGAAGGGCCCTCTGCCGGCTGTCTCCCGTTTGTCTGCAATGCGCACAGTCCAGCCTGGGGCCTGAGGGACACTCAACCGAGACCCCTCCCAAGACCCAAGCGGCTTTGAGCGAGACACATTCAGAGACAGGTGAGAGAGAAAACTGCATAGGCCAGAGGATGAAATCTCTAGAAAACACCCTTTTCATCTCGCTCTCTGTTGCTCGTTTGAACAGGAACGGGCTTGGGCGTTGACAGCCTTGATTGGAGCAAGGATGAGGCACCGAGGGAAAATCACCAGGACAAACTGGTGCTGGGAGGATTAATTAACAGCCCCTAGTCCCCCGGTTTGATTGAAGATGCCATCCTGAAAGACCAGAAATAACTACCTGCCCAGGTACCTCACCTCCCACAAAGTGGCATATGCAATTTGACTCTCTCCTACTTCAATCAGTAACTATCTTAGACCTTATGTAAGCTAAGAAGGAATAAAAAAAGAAAAAGAAAACCCGTCTCTGAGAATACCTATCTATGTTGAGGAAGATATAGGTACCTTGCTAAAAAGCTTTTCTCTTTGCTGAGGTACTCTCTGCCTATGCTTATGGAGGTAGGTACCTACGAATGGAGTGAGGTTTCGCGTCGTAGTCTACTACCAACTATACGTAATTGCCAATAGGTCAAGTAGGTGGTACTTCACCCAACTACGCCGTAGATCTGGCCAACTTCGCTCACCCTCTTACCACCTTCAGCACCACCTCTAGTTCCCCCGGTCGGCACCAAAAGAGCCAGGTTGGCCGACGTCAGCATCTTTTGACATTGACTATTGGGGCACGCTTGGTTCAAGCCAAGCGCCGCCACTCATTCCCCCCCCCCCCCCCCAACGCCAAAACGCCCTACCTTGCTACCCTGCCTACTTCCCATCATCCCCAAAGTCCAACCCGGGAACCCACACGCCCCATTCCCACCTCGTACCTTCATACAGTCCGCACCCTCCTCTAGTCAATACGTGCGTATTTGTACATACGCAGTACTCACAAAGCATTCATTTTATTATCTCGCAAAAGCGTCCGCGCCCATCATTCGCATCCGCATCCGCAACCGTAGCAGCCGCTTCACCCATCTACAGGCACCGTCTCCATCTTCTCTGAGACATGACGTGAAAGTCTCGCCCTCCTCTCCGCCTCGTTTCCCGACCGACTCTTTGCGAATGCTCACTTAGCCCACTATCCTCCGCCTTGTGGCCCAGGGTCCTCGCCTGCCACCGACGCCATCGACGCCCCGGCGACAATGACAAGGAATGAGGCCGGCAAACGCATCAGCTCCATCACGAGCTCAAGCACTGACAGTGCCCACTCCGCCGTCACGGTGAGGCCTGCTCTTCCCACTCTCCACGCTCCCGTCCCAGCTGCCGCCGCCGACCCTGCTCCTTCGGACAGTCCTCACCTATCCCATACCTCATCCTCGACGAATCCCCGCCGACGACCACTTCCCTTCCGTCTCAGTGACGACAATGCTGGGTTGACCAACAACTGGTGAGTTCCCCAAGCCCGGCCCGTCTTTACCACCCCTTCACCTGCTTCGCCGCTCCATCTTCCAATACGATCCATCCTGACCTGCTCGTCTCTTCGTGGAAACAGGTCCTCCGCCGACGATCACCAAGTGTCTCCCACTGCTCCTACCTTTCCAAATCGCAGTGGCTCCAATGTCACCCATAAGGACCGTCGCTTGAGCGACCTCACCAACAATTTTAGTCGCGACCTCAGCAATTACCGCCGCGACCTCGCCATCCTCGAGACCTCCCGACTGCCCCAGATCCAACACATACCGCCGACTGGTGGCGTTACTCCTGCTGTCGCTCCTTGGATGACGCCAAACGGTTCCTCCACCCCGTCGTCCACCATGCCGACCTCCTTTTACAACGATTCCAGCGACAACCTGTCTCTCGCCTCCCAGCTCTCGCCTGGCCACCCGTCTGCCAATGTTCGCTCCAGTAGCACACCGGGGCCTCAAGATTCACCAGATGCTGCCTATTATAATGATGGCCGACGGCCATCCGCAGCTAGTATTCTCACAGCCAGCAGCACTGGCTCAAAGACTAGTCTGACACGCGGTGGTTTTCGTAAACTCCAAGGTTTCTTCGGCGAGGAGTTCCCGGGTAGAGACAGCTCCGAGAGCAGCCTCCCCACTTCGTTCATGGGCAAAGACCAGCGTCAGCGCTCTTACAGTCATAGCCGCCCCACTCAGAGGGATCGCAACTATTCCAATGCCACAGATCATACTCGAGACGGGTCGCCCTCATCATCAAGGCCTAGAACACCGGTCC